ACACACACACACACACACACACACACACACACACACACACACACACACACACATATATATATATATATATATATGAACCCCTAGAATCTTTCCCGACATCTTTTTCTATGAACTACATTATTTAACCACTGCTAGATTCTGTTTGCTAAAATCTGCATCCTTGTTTATGAATAAGTTATCTTCTACTGATTTTGGTATAAAGGTAATATCAGCTTTAAAAAATGATCTAGGAAATTCTCCTCTGTTTCTCTCTAAGACGTTGCATAAGATTGGAATTATCTGTCCCTAGAAATATTGGTGAATATCACCTCTAAAATCATCAGTCAGGTATTTTCATCATGAAAAGATTTTTAACTTCAATTACTTTAATAGTCTTATGTTAATAGTTATGGCATAATTAAAGATTTCTTATTTCTTCCTAAGTTAATTGTGTTGTTATATATTCCTAGGAATTTGTCTTTTTTATGTTTTTCAGTGTATTGGCAAGAAGCTACTTACAGTATTTTATTACTTCTCTTTAATTTCTTCTGCATCTATAGCATTCTCTCCTCTACTATTTAATAATAATGTTCATTTGTATTTTCTCTCTCTTTTTCTTTTTCTTTACCAGAAATTTGGAGTCTTATTAACCTTGTCATAGAGCAAATCTTTGTTTTTATTATGCTGTCGGTTCTGTATTTGTTTTTGGTTTCATTTATTTCTTCTGCACATTCGTCTTCTTTCTGCTTCATTTAATTTGACTCTATTGTGTATTTTCTAACTTCTTGAGCTAAACATTCGGTTATTTATGTTAACTCTCATTAAAAAAAATGTAATCCTAGTGAATGTTGCTATATCGCACAATTTTGATACTTAGTATTTTAAAGTAGTTTTACATTTTCAAAATGATTTTCTTATTGATAAACTCATTAATAAGTGTGTGTTTTAAAGTTTATATCTTATCATCTTCTAATGTGATTATATTTTGTCTAGAAAAATTATGTTTGATATCGATTTTTCAAAATGTTTTAGAATTGTCTTATGGTATAGCACATTTTAGTAAATGTTTCCTGTGGGCTTGAGAAGAGTTCTTATTACCTAGTTTTCTGTGAACATTAACACAAGTTTATTGTCCTAATGTTTTAAAATTCTGTATTTTTACTAAGGTTTTTGTTCATTTTACCTATCAAAAATTGAGTTGAAATCTTCCACTACAGTGATTGATTTGACCATTTATTTGTGAAATTTCATCAATTTTGTTGTTTATATTTGGGGCCCTTTTATTATGTGTGCACTAGTTTAGAATTATACTTACTAGTGATTTGAATCATTTCTCATTGTAGTATAAATTTCTCTATTTTTCATAGTATGTTTTGTTTTCAACTCTATTTTGTCTTATATTAATGTAAGTACTCTCGATTTTTTTGGGGGGGTCAGTCTACTTGACTTGAAATAATTATGTGTCCTTAGATTTCAGTGTGTCTCTCGGAAGCAGTACATAATTGAAGTTTTTCTTAAAAGTTCAATTTTAAAATGTCCATTTTTAATAGACATGCTTAATATATTTGGTTTATTAAAATTCTGGTCATATTTGAACTTTTTCTACCAGTTTGATTTCTTGTTGATTCACTTTTTCTATTTTCCTTTGATTTTTCATCTTTTTCATTGTATTGTCTTTTATGTCTTTTGTATTTTACTGTGTTTTTTCTTCTTTCTGTGTTTTATCATCTACTGGTTTAGAATTTATGAACATTATCTCTAGGGTTTTAATGGTTACTCTTGAAATTCTACATTTCAAATATATTTAAATTATATTTAGTTAGGTATATTTAACTATATAAATATTGAAGGTAATCAATATATTAAATTCTGTAACTAATAAAAGAATATTAAAACCCTTACAGTTAAGCCATAGTTCTTTCAGATTAAATGCTACTCTTGACCACTTTTTATGCCTTGTCTTTTTACACCTACAAGTTGAACATTATTTTATAATTATTATATGTAGATAATCATATTTGCATGCATGTATTTTATTGGTTTATACTGACATGCATATTTACAATTTTATTTGTTCAGTATTGCTTCTTACTTCACAGACTATCCTCTGGAATATATATTTTTTTCTAAAGTCATTCTTTTTTTTCCTTTTTTTTTTAAGACAGAGTTTTGCTCTTGTTGCCCAGGCTGGAGTGCAATGGTGCCATCTCAGTTCCTTGCAACCTCTGCCTCCCGGTTTCAAGCAATTCTCCTGCCTCAGCCTCCCAAGTAGCTGGGATTACAGGCATGCACCACCACACCCAACTAACTTTGTATTTTTAGTAGAGGTGGGGTTTCTCCCTGTTGGTCAGGATGGTCTCGAACTCTCGACCTCAGTCTCCTTATTGATAGCCTATCAGTGCTAACCTTCCTCAGCAGTGTTTTAATGTGTGTGCCTGTGTATGTGCTTGTTCTTAAAAGTGGCTTTATTTCATATTCATTAGTGACTGGTGAAAATGCTAACACATGATCAAATTCTAAAGGCAAAAATCAAGGCAGAGCTTGATATTTAAACAAGATAATAGGTACAATAAAAATAATGCAATTTTAAATATGAAGACGGAAGTACGTTTTAAGTTCTTCTTTTGGCCTTGGATAAATTATTCAGTAATATTCATTAATTTATGTGTGAAATAAACATATGGTGTGTATCTGCTAATTGCTTGGCTCTGTCCTAGGTGTTCATGATTAAAAACATAAGGCATGGTTTCTGGCTACAATGAGCTCAGTCTATAAGGAGATTCGGACACATTAATCAGAAAGTTAAAAGATGATTTTGCAATGGGGAAATCTATTTATAGTATCTTAAGGAGACGTCCATGGAAACATCTACCTGGGTCTGGGATCAGGAGGGTTGGTGAGGGTTGGCTTCCTGGAGGTTATGTGAATGGAAGAGAAAAACATATGCCTAGAGAAAGAGCAGAGAGAAGAGAAAGAAAAAAGGAAGAAAAGAGGAAAGGCCCAGTACAAAAGTATGAATGCCATGCATAGTTAATTAATAACGTGAAGGTGGGGCATACATTTGAGGTAGTAAGATGTTTGAGGTTTAAGCATGGGCCAGGTCATGAAGGGTCATAAATGCTTTGCCAAACATTTTGGACTTTATCTCGTAGGTCATGAAAACTCATTAAGGAGATGAAATGGTAATGACAAGGTCGTATTTATGTTTCAGATTCTTGACTCCAGTGGGTGTGAAGAGGCCAGATGGGGGTTGGGAGGGGCAGGGCTGGTGTCCCATCTGGCTCTGAAACAATTTTATACTCAGGCAAGAGCTGATGAAGACTAAGTGAATCAGTGATATTGTTGATGGACAATAAGAGTATAACAAACTCTGCAAGCATTACTCACCACATAAGTGGATAGAAGGACACAAGTGGATAGATAGATAAGTGGATAATAGATATCCTCACCATATAAGTGGTGAGTAAAGGAGATAAGAAGTAAAGAATAATTCAGTGATTTCTAGCTCTGGTATTTAATAGATGGTATAGCCACTACCCCATCAACAAAATTAATTTAAAAGGAGATGCAGTTTTAAACAACAACAACAGCAACAACAACAAAAACCCGTTGAGTTTATTTTAGAATATTTTGGATTTTAGATGCCAATTGCCATCAAAATTGAAGTCATTGAATCTGAAATTCTAATCTTCAATCTTTAGCTTTCTGACACAGGAAGGCATTTATATAAGCCAAACCTAGGGCACAGCTACACCATATAATTCCAAGAGAATATTGGAGCTCTAAATTCTTGGTATAATATACCTCATAACAGACTCTAGAGTAGCAAAAGCCAAGGCTCTCTGAGCTCTGAATCCACAGGGAAAAGAGGGAAGCATCAAGCTGGCCAACACACAAGCAACATTTTTTTTCTCTCATAGTCTGTGTCTCTAAAAATTGAAGTTCATTTGGCTTAAATGGCTTAATTTAAGGTCATTTCCTTTACATACTATGGAGTCCAAGGTGGTACATGCTTTATCAGGTGTCTGTGTAGGCAGGGACTTTACCTGTGACCAGTATAATCAAGCTTCATACTGAGTCCTTACCTATCTGCTTGGGAATTGTGTGTGGCCCACAAAACATGGTACAGGTTTATTTTAAATCCAACCTTGACATTCTATAGACGTGGAATGACTATAAACACTTCTCACCAGAGCAACTCAAGTCATTCTCTCTAAGACATGGAACATACTCTGTAAACCAGTCCTACTCATTCATACACTGGGAACTACCCAAGCCCCTCAGTTATATTGGCTGTATGCTTATCCGAATTTACCTGAAATATTTCTCCATGCAAATGTTCTCCCCATAGAGTTATCCAAGACCAAAAGATACGAGTTCTGTCCTTCCCCTGGAGCTGGAATGTTTAGGGAAGATCTAGGGATAATTCACTCACTGTCACTGAAGCATCACCTCTGAAAATAATCTCTCTGTTTCCAAGGTCACCCATGGAAATATTTTTCTAGAAAAACCAGACATATGACTCTTTCACCTTTTACCTTTTGGAAACCAAAGCAATGCAATAGGAATGGTAGTTTTGATGCCACAATGAAAGTTTTTATCAGACGCATTCAATCAAGGATTTAACCACTTAAATATTGTGCTTTGATAAAAGTTCTACTGAGAATTTGTGATTTTTGGAGTTCTTTTACAGGGTACTTCATAAGCCATTAGATAAAACACTAAATATCCAACTTTTTCTACCAGTAGGTTCTCTTGTACTAATTAAATTAACATTGAAAACTGCTAACATTATTGATTAAGACTCCAAAGCAGTGTATATCAGTAACAATTAGGACAACTTCATTCTGGGCAAAAATCAAATCTGCCTTTCCATTTTCACAGGATATTATCATCTTTTTCTAAGATACCAGGCTGTCCCCTAACAATAAAGGCTTTTGTGAATTGTCTCCATTCTGGCCACTAATTATGGAGTTTGGGGTGGCAGTCATCAGGTTTACGGAGTGGTTAAGATCAAGAAATCTGACTTCAGATTTGGTTAAACATATTCAAATCTCAGCCCTGCCACATACCAGATATGTGATCCTGAGCCAAGTATGACCTTCCATTGGGCTCAGTTTCTTTTTCTGTTGTATGGTGATAAAAATAGTCCCTACCTTAAAGGGCTGTGATGATCCCTAAATGAGAACAGCCTCGTAAAGGAGTTAATTATCATCCTGACACATGAAAAGGGCTGAGTAAATGGCTGTTATTGCCATTATCAACTGTGTTTCTCATTCTCTTGTGCTAATGATTTAAGACACTTCCAATATCTCTTCCAAATACCTTAAAGTTGGAAGGGGACGTTGAGAAGATTACCTTAACTAATCTTTAACTTTACTGAAAAGCAAAAGCGCTGACATTAATAGGATCCAAGAGAGACTCCAGTGGCTGATCATTATACCTGGCTATTTCCCTTTCTGTAAAAATCACATGAAGAACATTGAATAACAAATAACCATGGGTACTTTATGCTCAAAGATTCCCAGAACTACTGTGAAAGGGGGACAAAACATCGAGGTCCATATTTCCAGCCCAGCCACACTGTGGACACTCTTCAACTTCTTTTAGAACTTTTGCTCACAAATACAGAGAGCACCTGCAGGTGATTTGGAGCCATCGTTTTGAGAATTATTTTCATCACATCAATTTTTAAAAATATATGCTTAATCTATTACAATCTTTGTGCCAGACATTGTGCTAAACATATCTGCATTATCACATTCTGTCATCATGTGAAGGAGGTATTACCATTACATCCAGGGAAGTTTAATTATTCCCATTCTGTAGGTGAATAAACTGGACTCAGAGAGTAATTGACTCCTCCAAGGTCAACTAGCTAGTTCATGATCAAGATGGAACTTGAATCCACGTTGTTCTCATTCCAGAACCCACAGCCTTAACCTCCATGGGTGCAGACCCTCTACATTCCTCTGGGCATCCTTGGAAGACAGAACATCCAGGAGCTCCTGAGTGCCATTATTTTTTTGGATGCTCTGATACCCTGGATTTTTGACGGCAATTCAACCACCTTTGAATCAAAATTCCCAGCAGCCACTGCAAAACAGTGTAAATGAACCATCATCCAAATTCCCCAGTCTATCCCTGGCCCTTACTCCTTAGAATTTGACTCAGAAAATAGCCAGTACTACTATGTACCCAGAAGTTTGCAATTTAATGTCTTCTTCTGGCCCTCCCTCATTCCTTCAGAGACCCTCTCTCCCAAGCCCCAATTATCAATCTTCATCTGAAGCCTCATTTCCAATTATCTTTTCACTAGAAGTTTTAAGTGTCGCCTAATCCAGCCTTTTCCAAACTGACCTACCCTCTGTAGTCCCCAAATCTTCCTTTTCCTTCCACTCTGCCCCAAACCCTTTGCAGGGCCCACCTTCCTCAGATCCTCTTACTTGGTACCTGCATTCCACGCTTGCACTGCAGCTCAGCCTCTCCTTCTGTGCCTCCCTGTCTACCCACTTACATGCTCGGGTCCTATAACTAAGCACTCCATCTAATGGATCTTCTTACTTAGCCTCAATATTTGCTTTCCGATACATTGGATTTATACAGTGTTTGCCTGAATTAAAATGAGAAATTTTAGAGCAAACTGAGGCTTCTCAGCTGCTAAGCTCCATCATGTACTTTAAATAAGGAGAAGGGGGAGTGTGTGTGGAGAGGGGCCTGATGCATTCATCTACCTCTGAAGTACCATCTCGACCCAGGCTGCTCACCTTCCAACCCAGCTGGTGCCTACCTGTCCCCACTCACCTCCCCCAGCTAAATTAACAAAGCAGTTACCGCTCATCTGCAGAGCTCCCTCTAATCGACTCCCGGTGAAATAATATTTGCTTTCCATGCCTACTTTGAATCCCACTCACTTTGTTAAAAGATTGCCTCTGGCTGTCTCTGCTGGCCTAATCTAATAGTTTCTAGTTTGTACAAGCAAAGCATTTTCAACCACCTATATAAATAACTTAAGCAGGAGAGGACACTTGCATACCCCCAGCGCAGGGCTATAGGACATGATAGATCTCACAATGACTTCTTGGCCAGTCTCCTGGGGAAACACCACCAGCTGAGTGGGAGCAATTTCTACACTGCAGGAGGCTGACAGGAAAGTCTGTCTGTCTATAGAAAGATAATGGTGAAAAACTATTCCTGTCTGGTTTCTCCAGTGCAGGTAACCATCCTAAGCACCTTGGCCCCCACTATGCCCCTCCACACTGCCTAATCACAGTGTTCACAGTATCTATACCAGTAGTAGATTCCATCCCAAGAAATGACTTTCTTTGCTCATCCATAAGAAGCAACTTATCCATTCAAGTTTTATTATGATATTGCAGCAATTCAAGTCACACCTTCATGCTGTACTCATATTCTAGTTATCTTGCTATTTCTACTACATCTGCTGTTAATTTCCCCTGTTGAAGTCTTGAACCTCTCAGACATCTATGAGAGTTAGGTTCAACTTCTTCTAAACTTCCGTTAATGTTGATGTTTTGACCTCCTCCATGAATTAAGAATGGACATCTAGAATAGTGAATCCTCTCCAGAAGATTTTCACATTACTTTTCCCAGATCTATCAGAGGAATCACTATCTATGGCAGCTATAGCCTTGAAAAATGTATTTCTTAAATAATAAAACTTCAAAGTCAAAGTTACTCCTTGATCCGTGTGCTGTAGAATGAAGGCATGAAAACAATATTAGCCTTGTGCATCTCCATCAAAGCTCTTGGGTGACTAAATACATTGTCAATGACCAGTGAGATTTTAAAAGGAATCTTTCTTTTTTTCTGAACATTAGGTCTCAATAGTGGGCTTAAAATATTCAGTAAACCATGTGCTGTCATCCAGTCTTTGTTTTTCCATTATAGAACACAAGAAGAATAGATTTAACATAATTCTGAAGGCCTCTAGCATTTTCAGAATGGTAATAAGCATTGACTTCAACTTAAAGTCACCAGCTGCATTAGCCTCTAATAGGAGAGTCAGCCTGTCCTTTAAAGCCTTGAAGCAAGGCATTGACTTCTTTCTATTAATGAAAGTCCTAGATGGCACTTTGTTCCAATGTAAGACAATTTTATCTACATGAAAAATCTGCTTTCTAACGCAGACACCTTCATCAATTGTATTTCCTAGACTTTCTGAATCACTTGACGTAGCTTCTATATCAGCTCTTGCTGCTTTGCCTTGCACTTCCATGTCTTGAAGGCAGTTTCTTTCCTTAAACTTCATGAACCAACCCCTGCTAACTTCAGTCTTTTCTTCTGAAGCTTCCTCCCCTCTCATAGTATTTCTAGAATTGAAGAGAGTTAGAACCCTTCTCTGGATTAGGCTTTGGCTTAAGCAAATGTTGTAGCTGGTTTGATCTTCCATCCAGCCTACCACAACTTTCTCCATTTCAGCAATAAGCCTGTTTTGCTTTCTTATCATTTCTGTGTTCATCAGAGTAGCACTTCTAACTTCCTTCAGAAACTTTTTCTTTGCATTCACAACTTGGCTAACCTTTTGGCAAAAAGGCCTAGAATTTAGCCTAATTCGGCTTTGGACAGGCCTTCTGCACTAAGTTAAATCATGTTTAGCTTTTGACTTAAAATGAGAGACTCTTCCTTTCACCTGAATGCTGAGAGGCCATTTAGGGCTGTCACTTGACCTAATTTCAATATTATGGTGTCTCAAGGAATAGGGAGGCCTAGAGAGGGAGAAAAAAAGAGAAAGAGAGAGAGAGAGAGGAGAGAGAGTTATGAGGCAATGATCAGTTAGCGGAGCAGTTAGAATACACACAGCATAGGTCAACTAAGTTCATCTGGGTGGAGTTTTGTGCCCCAAAACAGTTACAATAGTATCATCAAAGATGTATGATCACAGGTCACCACAAAAGATATAATAATAATGAGAAACTTTGAAATATTGCAAGAATTACCAAAATGCAACACAGTGACACAAAATGAGTGTATGCTATGTAAAAATGGCTCTGATGCGTTTTCTCAATGTGATGATGCCACAAAATTTCAGTTTGTAATGTAATAACACATTTTCCAGGGTATGCAACATGCATTACAGGATGAAAGTAGGGGTCACAGGATTCCTATGCTAAAAATGAGAAAGCACTCAGCTTCTGACAAATGGAGAGGGTGTGGGGAGAAGGAGAAGAATGCAGCAGGTGTGGACTGCTCACAGAGTGCTCTGGGCTGTGCTGTACTTTGTATGGTCATTTTGCCTTCAGGAAAACTCAACAAGGTCGGTACTATCATCCAAATAGCAGAGCTGGGTAAAATGAAGGTCACAGGAAATAAGCAACTCCCCCAAAGTCACACATTTGCTAGTATCAGACAGGGGACTTTAAACGTCCACTCTTTCCACTGCATCATGCTATTATACTTTGTCTAGATACATATGAAAGAAAAGATTGCTTATAAGCTCAACAAGTGGCCCTCAATTTGCTGTGGCTGTCATTGTGATCTTTCAGTGGCAAACACAAAGATCTCTTATTCTCTGTGTCTGACTCATATTTCCACGCACCCTCATCCTCATAGGAGCACATGCATCAACTCTCCAACAGGACTTAATAGCAACAATTTGCAACAACTTTTTTTTAATTTCCCTTTTAAAAATCGATAAATGGTCACTGATGCCATTAATAGAGTGAAAGCAGATTTCTCTCTATTATGAGAGTTGATATTTGTAGCATTTATCTCTCTCTCTCTCTCACTCACACACACACACACACACACACACACACACCAGAAACAATAAAAATAAAGACAAACCACTGCGTTTATGAGACCCTAAATACTTGGGTTGAAATACTTGCATCCCAAAGAGAGGGTAATACAGTAAAGAGTTCTAGCTCAGGGGTCAGAAAGTCCTGAGTTCAAATTCCAGTGGTACTTCTTCCCACCTCAAAGGATTATATTGAAGATTAACGTGCCGGGGCATCAACAGCACATAGCCCATGGCAGACAGGAGATGGTGCATTGGGGCTAGCCACAGATGCAGGTAACTGGTCTCCTTTTGTGACACTTCGTTTTCTGGAGGCCCAGATGTCTCTCCCTTTCTATGCACTTCAATTACATTTCTGACCTCAGTTATCCCATCCACACCCTCTGCCTGGTCAGCAGCCAGCCCTGGCCCTGATTTTTCCTGCTCCAGTTTGTGACTCACTAGGTGACTGCAGGAAAATCAGTTCCATTCTCTCTACTTTAATATTTCTCTTTCATATTTCAGGTACAATCTAGAAGTGATTTTTAAATGCCCAAATCTAGCTTCTGATCTTTCTGAAACAACCCCTGATTGAATATGAAAGGCTTTTTTCTTCTTTTTTTCTTTTTTGTTTGTTTGTGTTTTGTTTCTGAGATGGAGTCTCACTCTGTTACCCAGGCTGGAGTGCACTGATGCAATCTTGGCTCACTGCAACCTCCGTCTCCTGGGTTCAAGTGATTCTCTTGCCACAGCCTCCTGAATAGCTGGGATTATAGGCATGCACCACCACACTCAGCTAATTTTTGTATTTTTAATAGAGATGGGGTTTTACCATGTTGCCCAGGCTGATCTCAAACTCCTGGCCTCAAACAATCTGTCCATCTCAGTCTCCCAAAGTGCTGGGATTACAGGAGTGAGCCACCACGCTTGGCCTGAATATGAGAGGCTTTAATTCCAAGGATGAGCAAAGAAACAATTTGGGGAGATTATTTTTGCAGCCTGGTTGTGGGGAAAGGCATGATTTCCAATGAGATTTCAGAAATATTGAGTGTCCAACAAATGTCAGATGACTTTGAAGGGCCAAGTTCCCTCTAATAATAGAGAGCTTTCTAGGCCACACTTGGAGAAGGCTACACAGATGTCAGAATTGGATCAAATAGTAAGATTATTACTGAATGATCAGACACAGGGGGTTACTGGGCAAGAAGATCTAGGTGAGATCAGAAGCCACACACTTTGAGGAACACGCATCACACTGGGGCAGAGAAGTAAACAAGACAACACCAGCCCCAAAGTAGAAAGGAGAAATGCTACAGCATTTACATTTTCTTTCTTGCTTTGATTAGAGTGAGATCTGAGACTCTTCCTCAGCAGTTTCCCTTCTGCTATCCTAAAATCAGGACAGAGTACTCCAGGAAAACTGGATGTCCAGGGAGGGACTCAGTGACTTCCAGACACACGGTGAATGAATCTCCTTCCCTGGCTCATTCCCCAGCAGCAAAGACAGTTCTAAGTTAAAGTTTACATCCCCAATGGGAAGAAAGTCATGAGGTACCTGTCGTCTTCCCACTCAGAATCTACTATTTTATATGCGTGGGAGAAAGAAATGGGAAAATATCACCCCAGTCTTGCTGAGAGGGATGCTGAATTCACTGAGCTTATGAAATGTATCCATATTGAAGAAAATCAACTCCAGAAAACCACCACCAAGTGTTAGCAAGCCCCTAGTCCCCCAGCAGTGCCACCCTAAATTTCTAGCATTTAAGAGAACCCTCTTCTCCTCTATCTTGGTTTCTATGGAAAACAGTACCAACCTGCCAGATGCCTTTGGCAAGGGAAAAGGAAGAAAGAGGTGGACTCCTAGGGATAAACATGTGGAGGCTGGACCTCGGGTGTTGGAAGGGCCACATGCAAATATAATACAAATGAAGTGGACCCCTAAGTGAGAAGGTGCTGTTGAAGACTTGCTACACACGTGTTGGAGTGGTACCCAAACATCTCAGCCTCATTGTCTTTCTATACCTGAACAAGTAATTGGAGACAAGTAACTCCAGCAAGACTGTATCATAGTTCTACTACATGTGGATTAGAAAAAGGAGAGGTTTTCCTTTTCTCAGAAAAAGCAGATCAGTGATTTACTCAAACAATTGTTATCAAGGAACCCTGTTGACCTGTCAGCTGATAGGGTACACTGAAAAGGGAAATCTTTCCATTCTGTGCATGATCCCTTACCTTAATCCTTTCCCCCAAGAATTTGGGTTTTTAAAAATAATTTAGCCTGCCATTTTATGAGACCCTCTTATCACTCTCACTAACCTCTATAAGAGGTTTTTTTTTTTTTTCTGAGTAAATATTTAATAAGCATATCTAAAAGACAAATTTACGTAAAATTAGAGTACACATCTCAGGAACTGTAATGAACAATCTGAAAACTGTCCTAGAATTCAAGATTTTTAGAAACAGGAGAGAAAGAGACCTTGGTGATTCTTTAGTTCAATCAGCTCATTTTACAGATGAGAAGACTGAGGGCAATCAGTGAGACAGCTGGGGCTAGATTCAAGAGAACCCTTGAATCCCTGCTGAGCTTCCGGACCAGAAGCAGCTGCGCTACACGGAGGAGCTACTGCGACACGTGGCCCCCGGGCTGCAGCTGGAGCTTCGGGGGCCGCAGCTGTGGGCACTGGCGCATGGGCAAGTGCAAGGTATACTGGGAGGTAGGCGGCCCCCCGGGCTCCGCCAGCCCCTCCACCCCAGCCTGT